CGTTCGCGCGCGCAAGCCCGTCGAACCGGCCACTGTGATCCGTATTGCACTATACAATGGCACGGGCGGTACATCGCACCGTCGTGGCCGTAATCCGACGGTTTCCCGCGCGCGTGCAGCAATATAATAATACGACGACGGTGAAAAAAAAAAAATATATCGCCAAAGGTTCCGTTCGTTTTTATTTTTTATTTTTTTTATTTCTCGTCGCGAGTCCGCCGAGGACGCCGTCGTCGGGATAAACGTGATGTTATTATTATTATTATTATTATTGGTGATGCGCCGCCGCTCCCCTCGTCGCGCGCCTGCACGTCGGCGTCGTATCGCGTGCTTAGCGACCGCGCGGGGATAAACTTAGATCCGAAAAGACAACGGCGACGGCGGCGGCGGTGAGGAGTACGGGGCGGTGGGGGGAGGGGTTACTGCGGCCGTCGTATTATATTATAAAGCAGATTATTATTTGGACGAGACGTTTTCGGTGCCGCAGCCGTCGGCCGCGCGCGCACACACGGTCACACGCGCGTGTGTACGACGCGTATATATACACTACACGAATATATAGAGAGTCTTTGGGACGCGCGCGCGCGTGTGTGTGTGCCGAAAACAAGAAAGTCGTGGGGTCACCGGGCGTCGGGAACACAGAGAGGCCGGGCGGACGAGGCGGTACGGCGGCGGCGGCGGGGGGGACGCGGGAAGAGCGGAGGAGCGCTCAAGACTGTGTACGCCGGGCGGCGGAGGAGAAACGTTGCGCGTCAAAAGTGACGAAGATTTATGGCGGCGGCGGGCAGGCCCCGTTCCGTTCGGCCTCCGGGGCAGAGCGCGCGGTTCCCACCGGGGACCGGTCGCCGCGCTCGCGCGCGTAAGCATCCGAACCGTATTATATACGAGAGAATGTAAAAAAAAAAAAAAAAAAAAAAAAAAAAAAAAAAGGGAGAGAGAATTTACCGAAAACGTAAAAGGCTCACGACGGCGCGACCGTGCCATGTGTGTGTCAAACGAAATAATAATAATAATAATAATACGGCGACGACGACCTCTTCTGCCACGCCGGGGACGACAGAGACGGACCGAGACGGCGCGGCGGGACGACGGCGGCGCGGAACGCCGAGAGACGGAGACGGAATACCCGCCGTATTTTATACATTATTATTATCGCTGCGTACGGCGGCGCGCCGTGGAGAGTCATTTGTAATTTTCGGTTTTCGTTCCCCCCGTTACCCCCGGACGCGAGCGCTGTGTGCTCACCGACTCGGGGAATTAGAAAATAAAATGGCAATAATAACGAAGTCGCGAAAATCGTTTCGACGGTAAAACAAACGTCGGAAACCGAACGCCGGGGGGATCGCGGGGAAGCGACGAGTTTCTGTTTTTGTCATGTACACACGTGGGATATAGGGGATTTAGACGTGTTTTATTTCCAACGTGCCGATTGATCCGGCGAGGCGATAGGAATTCCAAAAAGCTGATTTGAATTTTGTCGCAAAGTCTACTCGAAATCGACTGTCCCGCTTTTTTGATTTTAATTTCTCAAAAAAAAAAAAACTAAATTTTTTCAATTACTTTTTTTTTTTTTTTATTAGTATGGCGTTTTCTTTAGAATTAAAGGAGAGAAATTTAGATTTCGCGATTGTCGATTTCATGTAGACTTTACGACAAATTCAAATCTGTTTCCAGAATTAGAAATTTTGGAACTAGAACGCGTCTAAATCCTTATAATCTCATCTCTTATTATCCTCACGTGTATAAGACGAAGACAGAAACTTATCGTTTCCTATCCCATTAATATGTGTGCGATATTATTACCGAAACAGCTATTCCTATCGATGTCGATCTGTCGGATAACTTCCGGATAATCTGTCGAACCGCGGTTACCGGAAATTTATTTCAATCGGAACGCGGGCGAATATTATCCCGGCAAATAAGAAACGATATAAATTGGATACATATAGCTGGAACCACTGGATCCGAATGTCCGAACGAGATCCGACGAAAACGTATTATTATTATTGTTACGCGTGTCGGGCGTGTCGAAACGTACATAATTTTATGTACGTGTCATTTCGATCGGACAAATCGTTGAATTTCGGAAAACGACCCAACGCCGTGTTCGCGGGCGTCCATTGAAAGAGGCAAGGAGGGGTATGCCCCCCCCCCGGGCTTTTCCGTGTCTGTTATACATTTATCCGTTATAGGGATATTTATTCGTTTATTCGTTATCAGGTACTGTACTGCAGGAAATAGGAATACAGTGTGCGTGTCCCTGGATTCTACGCCCCCGGTCGTGTCATCGTAATATACCTTGCCGAAGCTTTATAAACACTACACCGTCATTATTATGACGCGAGACGTCTGCGGCAGTTCGAAATTGCCGGGATTGACTAACGTCGACGTTTTTTTACACCGGGGTCGTCGTACAGTCGCGTACGAATGTTTTTTTTTTAAAATTGATTCGTAAAAAAAAAAATAAATAAAAAAAATGCTATTGTACGCGCGCGCGGCGTACCCGAATAACAGGCGACCTTAACATTGTCACCGCGTTTCTAGTAAAGTTGTTGCTCGGAAGAAACTGCTACGAGATTTATAGCAGTGCAGTTTATTGTATATATGTGTATATAATGTATACAGCGGTATTATTATTATTGTTATGGTGTAATAAATAATATTTTATTACCGCGAGTACATCGCGACGGAATTTTTTAGACATTTAACAAACACCGCGGTACATTATTATTAGGTTTTACTATATTGTACATTATACATTCGCAGATTTAATCCGTTCGACGACTTTTTCGGAGCCGCTGGTGTTAATTTAAAAAAAAAAAAGAAAACGTATTTTTTTTTTTGGAAATGTTACGAAAAGTTTCGTTCGAACTGAAAAATCGCTTATGAAAAAAAAAACCCTCCACACATTACGTTCGATTTTTTTTTTTTTGTACCCATTACGACGAACGCATCACGTTCAATTTCCGAGCGCCAGGCCAAAACAATAATCGTGTCCGCGTAAAACACGAATAAAAAAAAAAAAAAAACCCCGAGAACTTTATGTAGATACACGTAAAGCTGAAAAATCGCCGGAACGATTTTTGATGATTTTACGACGCGGCGTTCGGAAGGGATGAAATTCGGCGAATGTTATCGTCTGCAAGTGTCCGCGACCGTTTCCGTAACCGAATTACGGGACTACGGGCACGAAAAAAATATCCTCTCTGCGTATTATTCGCCACAGGCATCGTTCGGGTCCGTGCTGTGTAAATAAATACACATTGTAATACTATGCGCGCGCCGTCCGGTGACTACCGCGTAACCCGGACAGAATATTATGGCGATGGGTTGGAGAGAGACATAAAACTATTTGTTTATACGAATCGTCGAGGCTACACGACGGCAATAACGCGGCGTGTATATTTTACGTATAATCATATGCATAATATAAATACACATTAGACGCGCGTAATCGTCTTAAACTTTGGTTCACCGACGAAACACGACTCGAAACAGTGACCGGCCGGACGCATACGACGTCATAGAGCGACCAATAATAATAACCTTAGACACGCGTATTTCACCTGCGGGTCTAAAGGTGAAAATTTAATTTAATTTAAAAAAAAACAACAACAACAACAACGAAAATTAAAATATCGTAATCCGAATTTATAAACCGACTTTGAATATCTAATTATAATAATAACAACAACAACAATAACTTTTAACCCGTTCGGGTACCGCGGGTACACTGCGCGTATAGTATCGGGCGCCTATCCCCAATAGATCGCGATTACCGGATTTTTTCTAAAATTTCATTTTATTATTATTATTTTTTTTTTTTTTTTTTAAATCGGTCTGTCGGCGTATCGTCACGCCGAGCGTAATATTCGTATAAAATACCCGCGTGTAGTGCAGAATATTATATCGTACCGTATACAATTATTATTATTATTATTTTTTTTTTTTAATACGCGGATTAATAATTACGAAACTTGAATATAATGATTACATATTTTATATTATTTCGATCTCGCGGTGTAATATTATGCATAACGCAGGATCCGACGAGGTCCGCATGCATCGCGGTTTTACATAGAAACATCAAAACGACGTTCCATCATCGTAAAGAGCTTTTACCGCGGGTTATACGCGAGGGTATGTATAATAACAATCATCGCGAATCAAATTATTTTATGCACCGCTGTGTTTATACAAAGGGAAAAAAAAATGATTAAAAAAGTTAATTCAGTTACACCACTCCACCCCGACCCACCTCCCACACGCAATGCTATAGACGATTAACAATCAACCGATGCACTCATAAATAAACTCTAATAATAGTTTGCTGTTATTATTATAATTTTTTTCATTCGTTTTTTAATCGTCGTCGGCTGTATGTGTTATTATTATCAACACACCTTAACGATTTTCCTGGATAATTATTATTATTAATTTTTTCTTTACATAATCCGTATAGCATATAGATACCTACTGCAGTTCTGTCTATCTGCGCACAGCCCTCGAACATCACACGTAATCGCTTAAATATTATAATTAACAATTTAGCTGACCGTGTGCATACATTATGCACACACTATTTACATTTTATATGCGTGTAAAACTATTATCAACCGTAACTACGCAAAGACGACGTACAACAAGTGTGACGGGGATTTGTACGCGTTTTAAAAATTGCGAAAACTAATTTATATACATTCAAATGATTTCGAAACCAGACGTGAAATGTTTTCGAACCGTTGACAGTCTTTCGGGATGTGCATGATGCACACATCATATTATCATCGTTTCGATTAGGAATCGTGGCTGAAATCACGGTAGACGGCCTATACATTATGTGTACCGCGGGTTATGACACGAGCCGCGAAACGATGTGCGTTTTATACACAAACGGGGCGGAGGATGAGAAGGGGTAGGAGGAAAATTGGCGCGGAAGATTGTTGTCGCGCCCGCGCACGGTATTATTATTATACACGCACGTAAACACGGGTCGTCGGCTATACAGATAAGAAGACAGAGAGATCGTTTAAAGAAGACCGTAGAGGAAATTTATGGCTTGCGAACGTGGAAAAAAAAACCGCCGGCATACGGCCCCGGGGGAGTAGTAAATCTGCGCGTAAAGTTTCGGGCGGAGAGACGCGTGCGTAGTACGTACACGGGAAACGGGTGAGGAGACTATCGCCGCGTCGTTTTTTTCCCCGCACGATAAGTAATCGCCGCGTTACTATTGCTGCTACTATTATTATTATTATTATTGCACCGCGGTATAACAAACGGCGATAACGATGATACCGACGGGCGTGTTTTGCCGCGTGCGTCACGCTGTCGCGAAATCGCCGACAAGCGATCCGTTGACGCGGTATTGCGTATAGCGCAGCGCTAATCGCGTACCGGCGGATACGATCGAAACCTGTGACCGCCCGCGGCGACCGAACGAACGGAGTGCCCGATATTTTGTTCGCCGATTCCGCGGGACGATCAACGCGAGCGCGCCGGGAATCGCAGCGCCAACCACGCGTATCGCCGGAACGGCGGTCGCGGAGAGAAACGTAGTCGATCGACCGCCGGAACGGAGATTGTTTTAATATTGTCGCATCACCTCGCGGCTTGTCCCCGAACGAATTGACCGGCGATAATCGATTTGGGGAACAGAACGTGCGCGCCGTAGGGTTTTGTGAATGCCCGTGCCCGTCACGGCAAACGATGCGGTTTGGTGTTTGGAGTTTATGCAGTCCGGAGAGTACACGCTCGATAGTACTTTTCGATGAAACGCTTTACGGAAACGGGCGTTTCCAGCGAAGAACAAGCCAGTGCGACAAAGACCGGACGCAATGATGGGGCACGTCCGAAGGACGCGATTTACCTCGGACAACGCGGAGAAGTTCTGGACGTCTGAAAACGCGGGCGCGGCAAGGACCGTGGACAATTCATACGGACGGGGGAAACGACAGATACAACGGCCCGCGACTGCGCGTGGATTTCGGTTACTGCGGATTGACGGAAATCGCGGACAAAAAACCAACACGCGGGAAATGCCGAATACCGGGAAATAAAATGATATTATAGCAGGTGTATCTTGTGGGGGGACACTGACCGAGACGGATCGAAGAAGACGGCCGTTGCACAAACGGGGGAGTGGAAGGAGGAATGGGTGTATGTAATAGTGAAAAAAAAAAAAAAAATCAAAATCGTTTGGGAAAATCGACTACATTATTATACAATCGTTTTGGCCGTTCGATTTGTTCCGCAGGACTATGATGCGCGGGTAACACGCCGACATGTCTCGCAAAACCGATTCGTCAAAACCCGCCTTGAATAACACATTATACGATGGGTATCGGGGAAAGTCATTTTCGGGCGTAAAACGCATAGTACCTATACTGTAATACTATATACTAGGCGTATCGAAACGATTTTGACGTCGTATTAATTTGGGAGGGGGACGGGCGGAGGGAAAAGTAAATTTCTGGATTTTTCTCCCGTATCGTTTCGGGCGCGCCAAAAGGGACCGCGGGTACGAGAACGAAACGCTATTATAATTTGTTTATTTTTTTTTTTTTTCCCTAACCGTATTTTTAGATCTACGAGGCTCGCGCGACGGTCGTTCGCGTATAACCGTCCCCCCGTATGCACGCACGGCGGCGGTTTATACGCGCGCGCGTCTGGCGGAGGCAAATATTAATTACGACGCGCGCGCTCGTTCCGGTCGCGAGCGGTACGCAGAGTTAATTAACTCGGAGAGAATGCCCGTCGCCGCCGCCGCCAACCACCCTCATGGCGGCGAACCCAAAATGACGGATTGCTCCCCCCCCTCCTCCCTCCCACCGACTACTCGCCCTCCCGCCGAAAAACGTGTCCGACACGGCCGTGCGGCGCCCGGCGTATAGCCGCAGACACCGCCGACCATTTTGAAAACGGGTTTCGGGCGTTTTGCAACGGTTTACGTTATTATTTATATTACACACACACCGATGTATACGCTCGAAATTTTCTATTTGGATTTCAAGAAAATCGGAAAAATCGTCACTGGATTCCGAGCGAAGCGGTAATATAGTGACCACCGATGTCGGTTTTACTACGGCGGTGTGTATTTTATATATTTTTTTTTTGCTCTCTGTGTTTAAAAAACTCGAAAATTCTGGAAATCAAAACACGTGATCTTTATCATAAGTATTTATTGACGCTAGTCGAGTATACTTTAGAGTAACGGTCGTTTTTCGGAAATTCTCATTAATATTCCAGATAACGAGGAAAAACTGATTCTTTGTGATTAGTCTTTTCATATTCTTTAAACAATCGTCTTGAAAACGCACATTGTCGTAAAAGCAACGCTATTGACCGGGCTCCGATCACAATAGTTTTTCATTATAAACGATTAATAGATATAAATTAAATTTCCCTCTACATCACACCTTCCCAACTTTACACCTACAACAGTGGCCCACCCGCGGTTCGAAGTATGTACGTTTTTTTTTTTTTTTTTTTTTAATCATGCTTTTTTAACCACCCGAATTTTCTTTCTCGCCAATCACGGGTGATTTCGGGTTTAATTTTGACCTTCGAATTTTCGAGTTCGGTACGTAAACGTTAATCGACAATTTCGAAATGAAATCAGCTTTATAGACAACAGGGGGAGAGGACTGGGAACGCTCGTAGCACCGTGAGCTGAGCCAAAATTCCGTCACAGAAGCCTGCATATTATGGCCCGCGAACGAATACGGTGACGATTTCAGAGCGTACGATGCGGCACATTGTACGAAACGGAATCGTTGTCGGGATGAGGTCGAATGCGATTTTTCGGGTTTTATTTTTGAGAGGAAAAGAGTGAGAGAGATACGAAAATAGAAACGATATTCGTCGGTTTGGCATCTGCCCGCGGGTATTTTGCACGTGTATATGTATATATGTACGTAACGCGCGACTCGAAAAAAACAATATAATGTTTCAAACGCGTTATATGAAGTGAAAAAAAAAAAGAAAAGAAAAAAGGCTTCTGGGTTTGCCAAAAAACGTCCGGTGGTCTTGTTGCCCCGCGGTGTCACTGCCACCGAATTTGTTTCCCGCCAAACTACGCGTCCGTCGCTTTGACGGATCGCCGCCGTACTCGTTTCTTTTGAAGTATCTTTAAGGAGAGCGAACGACACGATGGCGGGGGTCGAATTTTTAAAAAGAAATTAATTGCGACTTCTGTGCACGCACGTTTAATTATAAACGAATTTCGTATGTCATCACCCACCGCAACAACTATTTCTATTGCAACACGGTCGGCCAATAATCATTACAATATAGGGCAGGTACGTATAATATTCGTTGAAGTATATTACTTTTCGGTTCCAAAGGGGGAAAAAGGTCGAATCAATTTCAGGAATGTTTTATTTTATTTTATATCGTCTTATGTAATTTTTAGTGTACATTCAGTTAAGTAAAAAACGCATAAAGAACGCCTGCATTTAGGTTGTTAGGCCGTTTAATAATTTATCATTATTATATGCCGTTTTCGAAATTCATTCACCTCGTATAGAAAATTATGCGAAATCGACTTATGCCTTTCTTCCGAGGAATCACAAAGCTATATTATTATATTTAATCGATGTTTGACCGAATTTTCAGATCGGACTGTTCTGATTGAATTTTGTCACGGAGAAAATCGTGAACTGACTAGGCCAGAACCGAAACTCGCACTAATGTTCCAGAAGTCGTATATTTCAAAAAACGAAAACAAACAAACAAACTGATGAATGGTTTTACGCACCGCGTTTTTTTTTTTTTTTTACATAATTTAAGTTGAGAATATTTGAAACTGACAGAAAATTGAAGATTCTGGTCGTTGTATACGGTGGCTAATCAAAAAGTATCGAGACTGGTAATATTTACTCGGAAACCGAGCGTTGAAGATCAAAACGATTTGTAAACCTAGCTTCTATGACTTATACTGAGCACATCCATTCGTATAAAATCTCTATAAACTTCTTCGTTTTGATTTGACGATATTTTTCTAAAATTTGTTTTTCACGTTTGGCGATTTCGTAATGAATCCAAAAGAAGCGGAACTCGCTGCCACTCGAGGGCACATTTTCAGTTTTTCAATTGACATTTAATGGCGAAAACCATGAAATGTTGCATCCCTCTGAAACTGGAAAAAAATGCAGACAATTTTTTTAAAATCTCCAAATCTTTCAAGTTACCCTTCTTTTGGGTTTATTACAAAATCGCCAAACTCGAAAAATATATTTTACAAAAATATCAATGAAATCAAACCGAAGAATTTTATAGAGAAGCAATAAAAAACAAATGTACTCAGAAAAAGTCATAGAAGCAAGTGATACCAATCCTACTGCTCTTCGATGCTCCTTTTCCGAATGATACTACCAGTCTTGATACTTTTTGATTAGCCCTCGTATATATATCTATTAATAGGCTAGGTGCTACCTTGGAGACGTCTTCTGGGAATGTCATAATATTGCATGATGCCTGCGTCGTCCAAGACGTTTTCATAACAATTTTCACATCGGTCCAACAAGATGTTGAGTGTACTAATGTGTAGCGAAGAAGCTATGTTAGTACCGTTACAAAGATGCGTGGTAGTTTTCTTTCTCTCGGAAAACACTTTTTCGGTCAGTATCATAAAAAAAATGTATCCGATACCTTAAAAAGATGTGAGTTTGTCGTCCGATACGGTACTTTTATTAAAAAATTTAAAAAAAAAAACCCATCACCGTACCAGTTTACTGAATTTTACTAATCAATATCGTTTTTGTTCCCAATGATTTATCGTGTACAAAATAAATCGCCTCAATACATACTATAAATTACCAATTTTTCCAGTTCTCACCTACAGCAGTGGCACACCCATGATGCCATGATATGTGTCCAGATTTTCAGAATTTATTTTTAATTATTTTGCACGTACATCTGCATCAATTCAAGTGGATACACTTAATATTTCAAAAAATATTGGCTTTTTCAAACAATTTTTTTTTTCCCTATTTAAGTGGAAATGAAACAATACAACAACCTTATGATTTTCAAATGACAGCACCTATATTAAAAATTTCACAAATAAATTGAATATTAGTGTACATTTATTTTGGTATTGAAATGTTTGAATCTGTTGACAGATATTATCTACTTATAAGATTGGGTAGGGGAAGAGTACCTAATGGAATACTATTAAAACGCCAAGCACGGTGCCATCGCACAAATTATGTTCCATCACTCTCTCACTACCCAAACGGAAATCAAAAATTACAAGCCAAAAGGTATTTTCACAAATACGCTATTTATTTGTGGAATATTAAAAATAGATTGCCGTTTGAAAATCAAAAGTAGATGGCCGTTACACTCCCAGTAATAAAAGCGAAGAAAAATAATATCAGTGTAACGTTTTAGAGATTTTTTTTTCCTTGAAATTTCAACACATAAAAAAAAAAAAAAATGTTAAAAAAATTAATACTTTTCGAAATATCGAGTGTAACCAATTAAACGAATCACTCTGTACGATATTTATAGTTTGCACCTTTATTGTTTAAGTACCAAGTATATACAGTATAATGTAGACTATTATTATTGTATAATATAATGTATTGTTTTCGAGCTTATAGTTCCGTTGCACATGTGTTATTATTGTATAATAGTATGGTCGGCAAAGAATAAATACAAATAACGATGACTGGCTTTCGGTAGTCAAGAGTCCTTAAATTCTTACAATCGAGTGCTCAATTGTGTCCAGAGCCAAGCAGAACAGGGTCGTAACGACCATGACGAATATCCTAAACATATATGAATACACGATAATAGCTGGGAATCGATTATTGGTAGACGGCGTCTAATATTAAACATATTTTTATCGCTACGTTTTACAGAGATTTTATTTGAAATTTATGCGTCATTTTTTTACCGTTTTTTTTTTTTTTAAATTTAAATTTTAGACAAGTTCACCAAATAAAGTACATCAACACAACAGCGCCGCATTAAAACCAAGAATACCTTTAGGCACGTCTTTTTTTTTTTTTATAGCTCATTATATAATTAGGTAAACCGTTCACTTTTACAACATAAATTATTCTAGCACTATAGCAGAATCCAACAACTTAACCAGTTATGGAAATATCGCAGACAAGAGGTTTCTAACGATACTTAAAGGTAATAATTCCACGAGAATGTAATGAGACCAACTATGTTATGTGTGTCGGAGTGTTGGGCGGTAGACAGAGAAATATAACAGAAAATGAGTAGCAGAGATGAGCATGCTTTGGTGGATGAACGACGAGAGAAGATTGGATAAGAAATGAGTACATAAGAAATATCTTAGTTGTGGCTTTGATAGTGGACAAATCTAGAAATAATAGACGAAGTTGGTTTGGGTGTTTTATGATGAGAGTCGAATCAAAAACAGTAAGCAATGAAAATAGACGTAGTAGGAAAGAGGAATAGAAGAAGAGCAAAAAAGAGTTGGTTGGATGTGATTGAGAATAATATAAGGATGGCGGTGTATGTGAGAACAATGTGAGGAATTGGGTCAAGTGGAAGTTTTGGATAAGAATGGCCAAATAGTTAGGATGAAGGCGAAGGAAAAGAAGAAATAAATATAGTAAATAATTAATGAAACAAAAAAAAGGAGCTAATATAGGGGATGGGAGCGGCCACTGTTGTACATTCATATCTGTAAGCAACGATAAATTGTTTTAAATACAGCTAGTTATGTATGTTTTTAAATGTCATAATATTTACGATTTTCATGAAAATATAATCTTAAAACGCATTTGAAAAAAAAATTAACAATAACATTATGCTGATTTTTTTTTTTTTTAGTAGAACCTATGACGAACTTCGTGTTAAACTTATATCTTATACGCCTATTCAATCACTTTTAAATTATTATGATTCGGTTTTACTACAATTTTAGCTCTAGTTTAATCAATTTTTTTTTTACCATAACGTACAACTTATTAATAATGAACCATGTTATTTATTGTCAAATAATAAGGTAAAAAATGTATAGTTATTATATTACATGCGAGACGAGCGATTTAAAAGGATTAAAACTCTTAACTTAACGATTTAAGATGCGAAAGATCGAAAAGTCGAATAACTCCTATAGAAGTGACAAAGGCCTTACGGCCTGTAAAACAAAAAATAAAAAAATAATGGCGGGTTCTGCTCCGGATTATCATCATTGTGATTTCAATGACGATGTCGCCCGTAGTCGATTATTATTATTATTATTATTTTTTTTTTTTAACGTATTGCCCTCGTACACAGAGTCTCGGAGCTAATAACGTCGTGCAGCAGCACTCGGCGACTATAATACTGAGTGCTTCATCCCCGAATCAGCGGTCCCCGTATACTTTTAAGACGTCGCCGCCGCCGCCGCCGATCGTCGAGAGCTAAACAAACACTCGCGGGCCGATCCGCTCGGAATTAGTCGTCGAGTGTCGTCCCCGTAGTTTACATAATAACAATATTACAGTAAATACATATACGCGTACATAAATAAATGCCGTACGTCAAACGAGAGCATATAGTAAAGGAAAAAAAAATTAAACCAAAACAAACACGAAAAGAGTAGAAAACAAAACCGGAAGAGCGGGAAAAAAAAAAAACACGCGGGTCCACTCGAGAACCATTAAGCCGAACGTATTTATTGTATTTCGTTCGTGTGCGGACGACGTTCGGTTTTGGCGGTAGACGACCGCGACTGCAGTCGAAATGATCAAAAAACATTGTCTTCGACAATAATCCGCCGGGTCGAATGACGCGCCGTCGTAAATCGTAATTGAAAATCATTGCGCACACAACGGAACAAGCGTTCACACTTTCACGGCCGTTTTTCCCGAATTTCCCCCGGAAACGGAGATTACCGAACTGCATTGTGTCTATCAGCGGCGGCTATACGTGCACCGTTAGAATTTCGTTGCACACCGTGCGAGATCGGACCTATCGTTTCAACTGAAAATGCATGTTGTCAAACGCACATTGTTAGTTCCGAATCGGTTTGGTTTTGCACACAACATGACACAATGACCAATCGTGTTAAATAAAATGCATCCCAGTCGTGTTTCCCGCTACTTTCGGACGTTTCTAACGGCTTCGGGTACCAGTGTGCGTTCACTCGCGGGCCGATAAAAAGATGGGTTGAATTTCAATACGCGTTAATCGTGTTAATGTGAGTGGAGGGTTTTCTAGCTTTGCGCCTACCGCATAGGTTTCACAAGTTTTCTTGTCTCTGGACAACTTTTCTACCAGCGATTTGCTCCGGTTTTCAAGTATAGCATTTTTTCTGAGAGGAAATCTGTCCGAGGTGGTACTTTGAAGAGATCATTTTTTTTAATTTTCCCTAGAGTTTTCAGAATAAATGGAAAACACCGGGAAAAAACTTAGGGAAAAACGGGAAAATAGGTATGATATTAAACAAATATTATTAAAGGAAATATATAATGCACACGTGTAATTATTTTACATTAATATCGCGTACATAATTTATTATTGACAAAGCAATACTATTAACTGAACTTCACCCATAATCGTTTTTTCGTTAGCAATGGTTAATAGTTGCGTTCTGCAGATATACATTAAATTTCTCTTCGACCTTCCCAACTTTTCGCCTACAACAGTGGCCCACCCATCGTGCAAAGTATGTCAGTCTTTTTTTTACTTTGGAAGTTTTATAACTTTAGTATAATTATTAGGTATATGATATTGTTTTAGTATGGAATTCGGTTATTTATTGTTCTGTAAAAAACATGTCAATTAAATAAAAAAAATAAGCCGTGGAAAAAGTGACGTTGCTTTGATGCTCACGACCGTGTTTGTTTTCGCGAAATTTCGAATTTTTTTCACACGACTTTAATTTCGGGCCAGTAATAAGTAGACAATAACGATAGAATTGAGATACGTAATATGACAGATATTGTGACGGTTAATCGAATTGCGCACCCCGTGTCCGAAACACGAAGCGCGTACGGTTCTCTCTCTGCGCGTACAGCGTGTTTACAACGCATTCGACAAAGTGGAAGGGTAGGTAGTATACACTGCGGTTTTGTGCATTTGCAGAAAATATGTTTTTCTCCCGACCGTCGGACGATCGCGATATTTTTATTACTGCAGCGCTTATATATGATAATAAACCGCCGTAGTTTTACGAAATCGTTTTTGCCCCGTTATGCGATCATAGAAATTTTCGGTCGGCGAGAACATAAAATTCCGCTAACGATTGGTTTTTTGTGTTTTCGTTATTAATTTCGATTAAAAGATCAATCCGTTTGTGATTTTACGGGGTTTACGTCTTTAATCTGATACAATGACGTGTTTTGGTTTATTTCGGGTGAAAAGTTTGGTGGGTAATTCGGTCCGACAGATAATCAACGGGGGATCTATGACATATGTTCGGGATGTCGCCGGGCGATAAAAATCCGCGTTCATTCGGCTACAGGATTTGAAGCATATTCACCAACGGAAAATGCGTTTTTACCGAGAAACGAAGACAAACAATAAAGTCGTCAGTTTCTTGTCTGCGCTCAAAGTCTCAACAAACACACCGTGTCCGACCCGATAACGGGGCCGCGGTATTTTTCGTGATGATGTCCGACCGCGAACCGTCCGAACGGGAATGCAACAATAATATCACGGACACAGAGTTTTATTGCGCAAAGTCTTACTCACTTACGAAAATAATATTATTAATCACCTACAATGTAAGTAGGCTGTTAACGAGGCATATTGAAACGGAGAACGTTGTAGTGATATTGATTAGGAGGTCGCTGCGGTACACAATCGGGTCACGTAAAGACGTCGGCATATTTATACGAACGCGTTGTTGTTGTTGTTGTTTCTTATCGTCGCTGGGTTATTATTATTATTATTGTTTCGGCGCGCATCGAGGTGCGTGTTAAAATACGATAAAAAGCGATCGGGGTCGCCGGGACGCGCGCGCGAATAACCATTAATACCGTATGGTCTACGGCGTTAAAACATTGTGAAACGCGATAAAAAAAAAAAAAAAAAATTAATAAACAAACCGATCGGTTTACGGGAATGATAACGGTTGCGTTTTATTATACGCCGTTTTCTCGCCATTTCGGCCGGCAAAAACTTAAAAACGCGCGTTATTTTTTCGTTTATACCGGAAAGACCGTCGGGAATATTTACGTCTGTCGCCTCGGCAATTTTTTACCGGCGTGACGCGATGACCGCCCGCCAAGCGGATTGGAATTGCCAGGGACCGACGGCGAGTCCGCGAGACTTGTCCGAGAACGGCCGCCCGGACGTAACATTAATGGTTTCTTTTTTTATTATTATTATTATTATTATTATTTTTATAATTATCATAATCGCGAGAATACACGCACATTTAGTATCGCATATACCATAGTGTTTATACATCCGTGTGCGCGGACGTATCTTCCGACAATGTGTAATTGCTTGTCTTGAAAATCTCTTTTAAACGCGCGTTTTCTTCTACCAAATAATCTCTGTACGATTTCACTTCCTCGAGTTTCGGACGTAGCTTTTTTATTTCCTCTGCGTCCGGATTATGGGCCACCAGCTTCGTTCGCAAGTATCTGCGGAGTATCAAAACCGATAAAAAATAATCGAATAAAATAGGAAAAACAAAAGAAAAAAAAAAACCACCTTAATAACAATATTACGACGGTGGCTCTAAGCCGAAAGCGTGTAAGCGTTCAAAATATATGATAAATGATACTGAAAATGTATGAAATAATCAAATGTATTTGTTTCGCCCTACTGTGCGTTTTCGCTTTTGGCGCCCACGGCCTTTTGGGGAGGGATAGCATCCTAAACGTCTGTACAGGTACTACGTATGGGTATAACTTATATTATATTTCTTTTACTCTAAACTCGGCCAATTCAAGACGGGATTTTCGTAGAAATCCATCATGATCTCCGTCAGCCTGTCCAGAGTTCCCGTCCTGTACAGGTACTCCCGAAATTCTTTACGTTTCTCGTAGTGATCGAACTGCAAACACCTCGCAGATAATTAAATGCAGTTATACGGATACTATAACTTGTCGTGTAATAATTACCTTTTCGGTCCGTCTTCCTTTTTTCAAATAAAAATCCTTGTTTCTGACTTCTTGTTTGTATTCCATATCGAACGCAAAAATAATTCTCGATATATTATATTGTACAATTGTCGAATTTATATTCACCGTGATATAAAAATAAACGACAAAATCAACTACGCCCGGTAACTATATAATATAATGATTTTTTACGCGTATCCGGCTAAAATTTCACATCCGACTGTGTTTTTTCTTCTTCTTCTTCGACAACAAAATAATAATAATAAAAAATAATAATAATAATAATACGATAATTAACGAGCTGTTTATTATAGAACTGCACGCTTCTGCAGGTTCATTAATTATTATCGCGGTAAACAGTTAGCGGAAGAGAGTCTCCGAGCGCGGATAAGGACGTTTCCGAGTTTCCGGGTCGTCCTTTAGAAATGCTTAATAAATGTATTTTTTTTTGTTTTTTTTTTTAATTAACACTTTCGGGTCGGAAATAAGTGTCGCGCGGCGGGGGACGAAACCAATTTAACTTTATGTTCAAACAACTAAATTAAAGCGTTTCTCGCGCGTTTTCTCAGCGCCGAATAATACGGTCTAGCAATTTCGTATATTACATTGTACGGAAATCGCTTATGATAAATTATCGTCGTTCGTATAGGAAAGGTACATTTCGTTTATTTTTTTCTTCCCATTTTTTTTTTTTTTTTTTTTTATAAAATGCGTCGTCGTTTAAAATAAAAATTATCCAAAACGTATACAGAATATGTTACTATACAATAGTTATACTGAAAGTTTAATAGTTCCTTTGAGCGGTCGTTTTAGTATTATTATTATTTTTTTATGCGAACGGTGAAAACAGCGTGTAAAAACAACGTAATCAGATCAGCTATCGCTAGAATATGTTTCGATACACAAATTAGCATTATAAAAATACTAGTAGATCGGAAAAAAACCGACCGTGCGTAAATGATAGCAATATACGTCAAATGCGTTTTCAACGGCTAAAACAAAAAAAAACAAAATTATATTTTATTAGTAAAAGAACATCAATGTATATACTATATCCTGTCGGAAAAAGTTTAGAATTTGAGATTGTACTCTAAACGCAAAGCTCACATCATGTGGGTACCTAACAAAATTTCCCGATTAAACTGAAAAAATTGGCGAATTTTCGCGGAAGTAAAAAACCACGGGAAAACAACATTTTTTTTTTATGAAACACTACAATTCGGTAGTTCGATGGATCGTAATATTATTTCCGAAAATCTTTAAACATTATTAGAAAAAACAGCAACCAACCATGTTGCTAAATGTAGATAAAGGGTTCAGGTACCCTGTCGATTAATTGTTTTCGCTAATTTCTTTTATTTCTCCAAAAACATCAATTTGTTTTAAAATGTCTTCAATGATATTGTGATTTTTTCGTTTCGCTATTATTAGCAAAACACTGTGCATTCAGTCCGTAAATAATATTATACAAAAAGATACCTATGACTATTTTAAATATATTGCTTTTGTATTTTCTGATCAGCAACCAGTTTTCCACGAAAAATCTAACTTCGATTTTCAAGTGCACAAGTGTTTTTTTTTATCTAATTTAAATTAGATTTTCACAAAATATTTTTATTAGCCTTTTTTTTAAGTGGTAAAATGATTTTTGAACCATTTTCGCGGTTTTATTAAATTTCAATGTGGATAAAATTGTTTGCCCGAACAGAAAATTTAATACAAAGTTCATTATAAGTTTAATTCAGTGACAAAAAAAAAAAAAAAGTTATATGTAAAGTATTGGTTTTAGATTCTGAGTGGAACGAGGAATGTATCGGTTTTACAATAATGTTTATTTTTTTTTTTTATGTGAACACTTTTTCTACCAGAAAGCATACTTCGATTATCAAGTAAATAGCATCTTTTAAGAAAAACAAATTTTCTCTAGGTGGTACCTTAGAGAAGATATTTTTTGAAATTTTCATTAATATTTTAGATAATGAGGAAAACCAAGGTTTTGGTCTTTAATTAAATATATTGAAAGATTAAAATTAAGGTTGTTATTGACAACCGTTTTTATTTATTTTTTGTTATTGTTAAGTTTTTATAATTTTAATCTTTTTAAAACAATCATTTTTGTTATGCAATCGCACATTGTTGTAATCATTTTACCATAATATGACCATTATATTATATTGTTGACAAAGCAACATTATCAACTGAACTTGATTCAAAATCTTCTTTTCGTTTGCAATGGTTTATCGTGTTTTCCCAAATCCCCACCTATAACAATAGCTGCATCCACGTGTAAAGTGTGTCCATACTTTTTTTTATATTATGCGTTTTAAAATCAAATTTATCAAATAATCATTGAGTTAATGAAGTACTTGAAGCCCAGATAAATTACACATTTTTTATCAAAGAATTCATTGAAATACATGGTTTTCGCGCATAAAAATTTCCTATTTTCTCTTTCATTGAATAATATAACATATTAAATTAATCTCGCCAACGCTGCCACTTTCGAATTTTAATACTAAATGTTGACAGTATTATAATAATGTTCTATTTTATATTATATGTCCTTTCTTTTTTATAATCCAAATTTCCCAACATCACCTGAGGCCTACCCGTCAGCAGTGCCTATCCACTATTTTTTTTATTTGTATAAAAGTCTAAATATTCATAATTTGTTAACTTTTATTTTATCTTTTTAGCCTTAGGTATTCTGCTTAAGTTTTGTACCACTTAAAGGCATTTGACATTTCTGAGTTTTTTCGGTTTTTTTTTTTGGTTTATGTGGATAAAATTTGTTTTGGCCAAGCAAAAATACATGCAAATTCAATACTAGGTTCTTCATAAGTTGTATTTAGTGGTGGACAATTCTTTTTTAGATCTTTTAACACAAATGGAGAAAATATTATTAGAATATTCGAAGAAACATCGAAAAACATTTGTCTACAGAGGTGATCAATGTCTGTAAGATTATAGATAGGCAATTTATTACCCTTTCCTACTCCTCCAGTCTAAACTTTAAACTTACTGTTATTATTCATAAACAGTAAATCTGATATTAGTGTTATGCATATTAAAATTTCTAGAAAAATACTCTATATTTAAATCTATGTTCGAAAATGAGGTTTCCTATTTGAAAATCAAAAGTATATACTTATTTAAGGTATTTGTTTAGGGGTAAAAAACTAAAAAATGGTTTTAAAATAAAGCTTAAACGATTCCATAATGATTAGAAAAACAGAAATCAAATTCATATAAAAAACGTCGAGATAGTTGTTGGTTCATGATAAAAAAAATCACTCTGTATAATAATAATATATTAAAATCGCGGTTTACTTATACACAGTGGCGTGCCGAAGAAAGTAATTTGGTAGGCGACCGCCTTTGACTTTTTTTTAATGGTCTACTAATATGGACATTTTCAAGAAAGTGATAAAAACTCTGTGTTAAGTTACCACGTATAATAGCCAATGGATGGTTCGTGGATTCGTCGGTAGGTACGCGAATGGGTATTCGGAATAGAACGTTTGCCTTTGAAAATATCTGAGTTCGCCACGCCACTGCTTATACAAATAACGGTTATTGTGCGTTATACGTCGAGTGCACGATGATAACGCGCGTTAACGAGGGGACCAACAATATTATTTCGCGATAAAAAACGAATATCTTGCCCGAGCGAGTGTGCGAAATATTATTATTGGAATATTGTAATATCACAACGAAGCCGTATTGTTCTTGTCGAACGGTAGCCGATAACACCGCGCTGATAAATACGATGATAAAATAATATAATAATAGACGATATTTTTATGGCCGTGCGAGGTGTTCAAAAATCATTATCGCTGGTTTTTTTTTTTTTTTTTTTAAGCTGTTCGTTAGCCCACGCAGATAATATAAAAATATTGGTATTACATTGCTGTATAGTATAGCGTGAACAATCCTATCTCTGAGTGCTCTCGGGTTTTTTATTATTTTAATTCGATTTACAATAAAACAATAACGAATACGTATTATAAAATACGCGTGTATAATACGAGTACATATATTATATTTTTTTATTTGTATTTGTATGTATACAGGGTGCATCGATTATGTTGTTTTTATCGGAGAGGGTTTTTTTTTTTTTTTTTTTTTGTAATCACGTTGCGAAACAAAAATTCTCGGTACAAAAATCATGCATAGGTACACAATACACACGCGTCGTCGCGTATTTTCGGGGGACTGAATAATTCAATTGTTCGGATTCCCGCGAGTGTACTCAAAGATTTGTAATTCAATATTGTTTGAGTTAATACTTGCGAAAACGTATTAGAAACAAAAAAAACAAAAAAAAAAAAAAAAACCGATAGGTACTGCCGATAGGCGTGCCACTGCTATCGGTGGGTGGTTGAGAATATGGGACACGTAAGTCATTTAGTTAATATCTGTACGCAATTATTAATAATTTCTATCGAAGTACGGAACATCCACCTAAACAATTTCATCATTGCTACATTCATTCTGTGTTCAATTTGTTTGTCGACCGCCCAATACTCCTAATACAATCTTTAAGTCTAATACGAATTCTCTTATCGCATAAGCAATCTGATGCTTCTTTCCACGTAACTACACTT